GATGCTCTGAGTATGACGGCGGACGTGGGGGTGTTGCTGGTCTTTCGACTGGGTCAGCTGCCCAACCCATAGGAGCTTCCTCCGGGCCGTCAAACGAATCAGAAAGACTGCGTTGTGCGGTGCTGCGGTGACCTCCACGGCGGTGTCGCGTCATCGTCTCGGCCAGACCGAGGTCCACCTCGTGTGGTGTGCCAACACGAAAAATTGTTGGCGTGGCTGACACCATTGGCCTCACCATAATCGTATCGCCTCCGAACTCGTCAAACGCGTCTGCTCCGCGCACCATGGCGACAGGCTGTTGTGTGTTGGGCGGTGACACGTGTGGTAGACCAGGAGAAATCAACGTCGACAAGTCTGGGAGAGAAACGAGCGCCGACTCCATGATCAGTAACTCGCCTGTACCCGGAAGACTACCGGTGGGGCATGCCAAGCCGACATGGTCTGCGGTGCTCTGCTCAACTGCGGGAGTGTGTGAGATCTCACATCCCGGGAGATCCTCGCCTAGACATGCAACATCAGTCCCCTCCATCAATGCAGGCGGTGGCAGCGATACAGTGTTGACTGCATCGGCTCCGTGTGTGCCTGATTGTTGCATAGCAACCCCCTCCCTGTAGCCCGTCGTTGCCGCTCCCAAACTGCGAGGTGGGAGCATACTCTCTCGCTCCGCCACTGCGGGTGGTCGTCCCACATCTGAGGTCGCTGCAGCTGAGAGTGTCGCTCCCATAGACGCGAGTGGATGCACTGCACCAGCAGGACCCTCGTCCTGCATTATTGGGAGATGACGGGTGTCTCCCTCGGATTCGGGACGACGCATCAATGGTGCAGGACCCTGTTGCAATTCCGAGATTGCTGCAGAGGACCCCGTTGGAGTTGTCGCGTGTATACTCAAAGTCTCATTTCGTGCATGACCGCTCCCATCATTAAGCTCAATCCGCTCCTCGTCGGCATGATCGCCGAAAGAGTCCTTGGAAACTGAAATCTGCTCAATTGTCGCCCGGTCTCTGACCTGCGGAACGCCAGCAACCCCAGTAACCCCACGATGACGTCTGCGCACACGTGAAGCGATGGTGTCTTGTTCTCTTGGCCCACGTTTTAAGCGCCTCAAGGCACCGCCCATCTTGAGCGTTATCCGAGACGCTCTATCTCGAGCGTCATCCGAGACTCACCCTCGTACGAGTACTGATTCGTACTCTTGTACTCGTACGTTACTTAATGCAATACTTTCAGGACGTTTAGGAGTCAGGCAGATGAGTGAAATAGTGAGTCAAGGAATACTGATCGTACTATACAAAAAACGGATAAGACAAACATCAGGAGTTATAGACCAATATTATGCGTTGCCACTCGTACGCACCCTCGTACGAGTACTGATTCGTACTCTTGTACTCGTACGCTACTCGTACGCTTGGGGCCCGTAATAGTTTTTTTTAATTATTTTAAATCCGGTATTGTTTTCATTTTGTTTCTCCAATTCTAATAAGAATCTGAAGATGATGCTAAACTAAATGTTGCTTATTTTGTCTTGTTGCATCACATATATTATTTTTTGGATTTTTTTAATCACTTTTTTTTTTTTTTTTTTTTTTTTTTTTTTTTTTTTTTTTTTTTTTTTTTTTTTTTTTTTGCTTTTTCTTACGGGGACGTACAAGACGTGCAGGCGTATACCAATAACCTTACAGATCCCGTATAGATATTACATGTACGTTTTGTACGAAAAGGCTCCGTATGTGTATGTTATGCAGCGTATACCAATAACCTTACTAGCGGTTGTTTACACGCTATTAACAAAAACACTTGCAAACCGAATGATCCCTGTGATGATTGATATAATCCACCCCTCTCAAACGTGGTTCATAAATGGTCGACATATATAAGATGACATTCTTTTAATCAATGAAATGGTTAAATTCTCGCGCCAATCCAAACAAAACGCAGCTTTCGTTTTCATAGATTTTGAAAAGGTATATGATCATGTGGATTGGCGGTCCCTAGATGCTTTGTTTGCAAAAATTAAACTTTGGTCCTAACATGCGAAGATGGGCAAAAGTTTACATATAAATGCTACAATACGAATTATTGTTAATGATTTGTTGTCCCCAGAGATCCATCTTCAGAGGTCAGTAAGACAAAGGGATCCGTTAACCCATTTTCTTTTCTTAATTGTAATGGAAGCTCTGGGGGCCAATCTTAGAGCTAATCATAATATTAAGCGCCTACAAATCTCAGGTATACCTGAAGAGGCGATCCCTATAGCCTCCATGTTTGCGAACAATCTGACTATCATGATGGAAGCCTCAACTGCAAACATGAAAGAAATAAAAAATATGCTAAACAAATTCTCGAAGGTTTCGAATATGGTTGTCAATTGGGGGAATAAAACTCAATGGTGGTGGATTCATTCTAATGGAGATCGTCCACCCGAGTACCCTAGGGTACAATGGTTACCCTTAAAACCCCACTGAGAATTATTAGGTGCCTCTTTTTGTTTTAAGTAAACCTGTTTCCAATGATGAGTAAATTTATAAGCCTGCTATAGACAAAATGAATCACCAGGACAACTTTCTTTTTCGCCGATCATTAGTAATAAACAATGCTGTGTTGGTTTCAATATGGTACAAATTGGCACTTGGGCAATTAGTAAACCACGTGTTAAACTACTTCAAAAATAAATGACATTTTTTTTTTGGAAGGGAGATCATGAACAGGAAAGAGTAATTCCATGAGTGGCATGATTAACCTTGATGCAGCCTAAGTCTAGGGGGGGGTTGGGAATTCTTGACCCAACCTTGCAATGTCAAGCGTTGTTATTACAATGGATAATAGATCTTATTCTTGGTATTGATAAGCCCTGATAACCAATGACACTATAACAAATAAGAAGATTGGCGCCAAAAACTCCTTCTGAGGTCCACCCTCTCACTTGGTTGGAAGATAGATTCTGGAATATTCCCCACCTGAGTGCACATTGAAAGTTAGAAGGAGAGAGAGGTGCAACTCAAGTAAATCTTCTCCTAGATAACTTATGGGTTTACCTACTGAAAATATGACGTAAACTACCCTTACCAAATAAATCTTTCCCTGCACGTTTTGAAGAAATCTTGAGGTAACCTTTATTTGGGAACAAATGGATAACTGATGTAAATGGTTGTGTTTACAATAGCTCTCGACCTCCATGGTCTCAATAAGTGAAAAAGGGGTAGTACGGATAAAAGATATTTGGGACCAGGGAAAAAAAGGATGGAGGACAACTGCTCGACTCAAGAAAACAATTCCATATGCCCACAGACTACCCCAAAACTTGGACCAGATCATTTCTTCCATTCCCCTAGGCTAGAGGAGGGAGTTAAATAAAGAAGTAAGGTTTCAGGAAGAAGACTTGGTAATGGTTGTGAATGACCCAAAATGCTGGTAGCTGGGTCAGATGGTGAGTCGGCTAGAAGAAGGAGCTTTAGTCGCTCTCTTCAGAATAACTGCAAATCACATTCTCAACCCTTCACCGGCCAACCAAGTCAAGTTTTTTTCCTCCAAAGAAATCTATAGGATTAGAGTTCTTTTCATTTCCTCAAGTAAATGTTGGAGAGTCTTTCATCCACAATGCCCGATTCGGGATCTTCCTTTGGACCCAACTGAATGGGTATGGCAAGACAGGAAGAAAGGTAAGCCACACACCTTGAAATCCCACTCAGTTAAGGCAGTGTATCGTCTGTTGAGATCGAAAGTGGATGTGTCTTCCATAATAAGGGTCTCGTTAGACACTCCTAAAAGTGCCTGTTTTTAGGATTGCGTCTTGGTTGCACGCATTCCTAAATCTAAATTTGAGATCAAAAATATGAAAACGGCGTTAGGACGAGTCTTAAAGGATTTAGGATTCCCCAGGCAAAATCGTCCTAAATTTTCCAGTAGCCCCGACCTAATGAAAAATTTAGGATTCCCATGTATCACGGACTCGTGGCGTCGATCGCATGACACCTTCGTCTCAGAGTTGCTGGTGTAGAACCGGTCCATCGGGGCAATGGCCGGACATCGGAGGTATTCTGCGGGCTGACGGGGGCAACGACCATGAACGGTGGTTGTTGGGGGGCGGGGTGGACCACGGGGGGGCGACCGGGCGTCCGTAGTCGACCGTTGGCTTGGTTGCGCGAAGCGGAGGATGACGACGACGTGCATAAGACGACATACTGAGGCACTGCGGGCAGTGCGTGGGGCCCAACGGTCGATTTTCGAATCGAAGGTGTCCACCTTCGTCGTGTTCTCTGGTGCTTGTCGACATATGAAGGTCTTGCCGCCCTATCTGTCCACATGCTGGAGGATACTTCTGCAGTAGTCGCGTGGAAGGGTGCATCCGAAGACGAAATTGATGGCAGACGTGCAGTGGAGATTACCTCTGCTGGTACTCGTTATCGCCGTCCTGTTTGTCGTCTTCCTCCACGTGTGTTTGTTATACCAGCCGTGGAAGCAATGTCGCAAGCGGAGGGCGTCAACGAAACGGCCGCCCATAGAACGTCCGTCATTGGCAAGCCACATTAAAGATTGTTGTCATCTCTGTAGTCGAACATAATTATAGTGCGTGGCATTGCTTTTGCTTGTGTGTTTGTGTTTTTTTTTAGGTCGACGTAACGATGAAATGAACACGAAATGTGGGATTGAATTCTTGAACATCCGATGATGGGAATGCATGCTAACATTTCGTATTCGAAATTCAAACAAGGGATCACCAAAATATGTAAAATGTTTTGCAGTTATGCACACCCACATAGCATGGCCACAAGTGTGAAATGAGGATGCCATCCGACACAAACCCAAAAAAAAAAAACCCAAAAAAAAAAACCATTATGGCACGGGGAGAGGCAAGCAACCGCAGCAAGGATTTCCATCTACTTTCATATCATCATTGTTTGCCAATTTGCGCATGCAACATGGCGAGCAAAGGTATACAAGTCATCCCACCACACCACACGATTCATGACCAACGAATTCAAAAAAAAAAAAAAAGGTTCTTCTAATATTCAACCACAGCAAATGCACCACACCATGACCCCACTGATGGACAGCCAACCCTCAAGACGACCAAAACAACACATTCGGATTGACGGAAACCAACGGCGAAACACGTCACCCGGTAACGTCGCGCACGACGACTATGTACTTGAGGACGACAACGTGCACAACACCGCAGATCCGAGAGCTTCAGAATGTAGGAGACAAACCGAACACTACTCTCCATGGACCACGTCACAATCAAACTCGGTTGCCGATCACACTACCCCCCCGCCCCCCCTTCGCACGGTCTGCACGGTCCTACATCAAAGCTAGGCGGTCTCGAAGTGCATCACGCAAGAAGTCCCTGTCCACGTTCGTGCTCTGTTGCCGCCCGCCCGTGCCGTTCCCCACAATGGCCAAGTCCACTCTACGTCGGACGCCGTTCGCATCCACCTCCCATAGAAGGTTCTCGCCGAAGTCGATCCCCACGTCCAGGAGGATGTTGTGGAGAGTACACACGGCGACAAATTGGTGTGGCAAGGTCTCTAAGTTCGTCTTGTGAGTGCGCAGGAAAAAACGCCACAATCCACTTCATACACCTGAACGCCCTTTCCACATACCCTCGTGCCACCTTCTGCCTCGTGTCGAAACGCTCCTTGTCAGGACGTTGCTCGATTCCTCCGTACGGCTGGACGATCCATGGACAGGCGGCTGGACGATCCTCAGTACCCGACACTCCTTTCACGACTCGCGCAGACGCGAAAAATGGATATCCACTCTGAAGGGATCACCAGTGTCGTGATTTAAACGTCGTACGTGTCGCCTGGCCGTCCTCCGCCCCGCCACCATTCGTCCGCGAAAATTCGAATTCAAATTTTCGAACTTCTGGGTCCGCGCGCGTTTCACTAACCCGTCCTCACCCGCCCAGGGCCCACCGTAGTGTGTACCACGAACACTAGCCAGCAATGGCCGGACATCGGCGACGCGGCTGCGTATACGCATATGAAGACCGGTCGCGGGAGACCTTTTAGGACGAATCCTAAAAGATGTTTTTAAGGATTGTGTGTAACGACGCAGCCACAAATCCTAAAATTTCTTTAGGACTCACCCTTAAAATTTTAGGATTCCTTTAGGAGTGTTAAACGAGACCCTAAGGGATCACTGGGTTAAACATCTGAATATTGATGGGCAAAA